TGGCCTCGGAAGAGGCGTCTGGCTCCGCTAGGGAAAATTGTGCGTCGGTAGTGCACGGGCTCTTTTTTCTTCTTTTCTTTCTTCACTTTTTCGCTCGCCACCCCTTCGCTGGGGAGCGACCTAGAGCCAGAGCCGAAGCTCGGTCTCGGATCGTCCCCGAGACAAAGGGAACCAACCTGGCTCCGGGCTAGGTATCCACTAGTGGAAGCCTCGGCCTCGGAAGAGGCGTCTGGCTCCGCTAGGGAAAATTGTGCGTCGGTAGTGCACGGGCCGGTGCCCGCCACCACTACGCTGGGGAGCGACCTCGAGCCGGAGCCGAAGCTCGGTCTCGGATCGTCCCCGAGACAAAGGGAACCAACCTGGCTCCGGGCTAGGTATCCACTAGTGGAAGCCTCGGCCTCGGAAGAGGCGTCTGGCTCCGCTAGGGAAAATTGTGAGTCGGTAGTGCACGGGCCGGTGCCCGCCACCACTACGCTGGGGAGCAACCTCGAGCCGGAGCCGAAGCTCGGTCTCGGATCGTCCCCGAGACCAAGGGAACCGCCCTGGCTCCGGGTTACGAATCCACTAGTGAAAGCCTCGGCCTCGGAAGAGGCGTCTGGCTCCGCTAGGGAAAAATTGTGCGTCGGTAGTGCACGGGCCGGCGCCCGCCACCCCTCCGCTGGGGAGCGACCTCGAGCCGGCGCCGAAGCCCGGTCTGAGATCGTCCCCGACGCCGGGCATATCACAAGGTCTAGAAGCCGCGTCTGGCGCCGACAACGGGGAAGGCTCGGTCCGCATCTCCTCTCGGAGCTGAGACTTTACCTCCTCCATCATCGACGCCACCTGCGACTTAAGTAACGCAGAAAAGTCTGCCAAAGACAGTGCAGGAGAGGGTGCAGTGCTTACTACGGGGACCCTCGAGCCTTCTCCCCCGGCCCCCGGAGAGAGAGCGGGGGAGACAATCTCGGCAGCTTTTTTACCCTATTTAGATGGGGAGGGGGGGATGTCTTAGTAGATATGATATCTACCCCCGCCTTTAATAGACCTCTTTAAAGTGGAACAAGTCAACTTGTCTCTTTTGGGGGGCCCCGGGGGGTAAAGGCAATGTCCTCCGCCAGACATATTAGGCAGCGTTCGTGCCTGTCTTAGAACAACCCGTACACAGTTTGAAGGGTATCAACGTGTATCAGTGCGATATAAAGATCGGAAAGATACGTGCATAAATTGTGAAACTAGAAGCAAAGGCGTAATGTAGAATGCGATTTGTAACGCGATACTAATAGCCAATGTGTAGTATAATTATAACACCAAAGGGGCGTGTTACGCGCTAAGGTGTAAAACCCGTAAAAAAAAAAAAAAGGTAAGTGTAGTTTATGAATTAACACACCATCTTGGGTTTTGTAAAGGAAAAAATTGTAGACCAATGCTGTATGATATAACAAAACCCCAAGCCGTTTCTTAATGGCCTTGGTGTTACATGGAACTTTATTACATGGAACTACAATATGGACGCCATTACGGCCATTTGAATTCAAAGGTACCGTGCACGTGGCGTATTATTACAACTCTATAACTTCACAATGCGAGGTATTACGCCTTTGCAATGAAAGAAATGTACCATACATACAGTTTGGTCAGCCATGGTTCTTGTCGAACGATAGATTTCTCTTATTTTTGTCTTGTGTGAAAAATCGACACGTCTGTCTCTTACAGATGACATAAGGAAAGTGATTTGGGTGAGAGTTGCTCCCCCTGGCGTGAGGCGCCGTTGGGGGTGAGGCCCCGTAAGGGTGGTCGTATATCATACAAAAACGAAGTTTTTTGTGTGGTAACATTTTTTATTAAGGAAAATGGTTACAACTATGTCATGTAGATTTTCTTGAGCAAGGAAAATGCAATAAGTGCCCCAAGGAGGATTTAATCAGAAAGAGAATTCAAAGTTTCTTTTCTGAAATTATGATGTAAACCAGTTACGAGTCCACATTTGGGATCAGATAGTTTGGGGTATTTTCGACTGACAGTGCAATACAACTCACTGTCATCATCATCAAATTTTGCCCATTCAAATTCACTTAACCACGCAGATTGTACAACACGTTTTCGCTTTTGTGTATCGTATTGTTTTTGACTAATTTTCGTTTCTCCGCCTGTGCAGTCAGCTTTTTGTCGGTACGACCCTCCAACGAGAAAAACTTTCTCATATCCGCCATTTTGGTTTAGTTAGCAACCGGCTGCTTATATCTATAAATAAAGACTGGTTTCAGCGCAAAGCCTGCGCAAAGATACATCAAGAGACAAACCTCAGCCTAATTGTTAATGCTATACGCGACATAAATATCGATCAGCTGAATGGCCGTGATTTCCGTGTCAATATATCGCACATCAAAACAAATATAAATTAAACTGCTGTGAGTATCTGCTCGTCCGTCAGATGAGTATTTGATAAATTAAGCTTGCCTGCCATCAGTTACCACTTGTCAATACGAGCGGACGAGTGGATTTTTCGAGCCCTGACATGTTTAACCTAGGATAAAGAATCCTGTGAATATTGTCACACACTACAACTAGCAAACAATAAACTACATGGCAGGTGCTATTGTGATGATAGTTTGACTGTGTTTGCCATCTAGTTATACTGTGGACATAGACATGCATACTCAACTACAGAATACCCGGTACACTACTAACACAATCCAGCAGCTTCTGTACACTAGGACATAGGTTGTTATAACTAGCACACTTGATCAACTTATATAGATTTAACAAAGAGATAAATACATTGTGTTTAATATATACCACTCCAACTTTTGATAGGGATGTTTTTGTCTTTCATCAGTTGGTTTGTTGTTTAACGCTGCACTCAGCAATATTCCAGCTATATGACGGCGGTCTGTAAATAATCGAGTCTGTTCCAGACAATCCAGTGATTGACAGCATGAGCATCGATTCCTGCAGTTTGGATCGATGACATGCATCAACCAAGTCAGCGAGCCTGACCACCCGATCCCGTTAGTCCCCTTTTACGACAAGCATAGTCGCCTTTTACGGCAAGTATGGATTGCTGAAGACCTATTCTACCCTGGAATCTTCACAGGTCTTTTGTCTTTCAATGATACACAAAAATGATTCTCATAAGATAACATACGCATAATATGATCACATCTGATTATCCCAATCAAAAATTGAGTATTATATTATCCAGTTAACTGAGTTTCCAGCCTGTCTGTTGATCAGGTATTTGGTTTACAGTGAGTATGGTTTTACACTGCGTTTAGCAATATTCCAGCAATCTCATGGTGGGGGGGACACCAAAAATGGGCTTCACATATTGCAACCATATCGGGAATTGAACCCGGGCCTTCGGCTTGACAAGTAAAAGCTTTAACCACTAGGCTATCCCACTGCCGTGGTTTACAATTATCAAGCCATGACAAATGCATGAAATTCTCCTGCATTTCTCAAACATAAAATAAAAAAAACATAAAATAAAAAAATCTCACTTTGCACTGTCAACTCATCAAAATGATCCCCCAAAGAAAAAACAGAATAGTTTTTATCATCCACATTGGTTCTATTGTTTCCTATTTTGCTACCAAGGCTACCAGCTAAATTATGTAAAAGAAATATCCTGTTTAACCTGCGGAGTTACTTCCCTTCATACTGACAGTCAGCAGCTTGCAATATCACAGTCACACACCTGCAAGTGTAACCTGTAGAGTTACCTCCCTTCACACTGACAGTTAGCAGCTTGCAATATCAGTCACACACCTGCAAGTGTAACTTGTAGAGTTACCTCCCTTCACACTGACAGTTAGCAGCTTGCAATATCACAGTCACACACCTGCAAGTGTAACCTGTAGAGTTACCTCCCTTCACACTGACAGTTAGCAGCTTGCAATATCACAGTCACACACCTGCAAGTGTAACTTGTAGAGTTACCTCCCTTCACACTGACAGTTAGCAGCTTGCAATATCACAGTCACACACCTGCAAGTGTAACCTGCGGAGTTACTTCCCTTCATACTGACAGTCAGCAGCTTGCAATATCACAGTCACACACCTGCAAGTGTAACCTGTAGAGTTACCTCCCTTCACACTGACAGTTGGCAGCTTGCAATATCACAGTCACACACCTGCAAGTGTAACTTGTAGAGTTACCTCCCTTCACACTGACAGTTAGCAGCTTGCAATATCACAGTCACACACCTGCAAGTGTAACCTGTAGAGTTACCTCCCTTCACACTGACAGTTAGCAGCTTGCAATATCACAGTCACACACCTGCAAGTGTAACCTGTAGAGTTACCTCCCTTCACACTGACAGTTAGCAGCTTGCAATATCACAGTCACACACCTGCAAGTGTAACTTGTAGAGTTACCTCCCTTCACACTGACAGTTAGCAGCTTGCAATATCACAGTCACACACCTGCAAGTGTAACCTGACACACCTCTGACAGCTAGCAGCAATATCTACCAATTAACTAACCTAACTAGATATTCTTGAAGCTAACATATTTTAATATTTTTTCCATAGATTCTAATGTTAAACCTTGCGAAATTCCAATGAATATGGCACAGTAGGTCATATTTGTAAACATTGTCAATATATCTGAGGTGGTGATAACACTGACAAGCTATGTATTCTGTTGTTATGATGGTAATAAAGCTAACAAACACTACTCCTGGAATGACCCTCAACCCTGGATTTTGAAATACGTTTCAGGGACCCCTTCCACAAAGTGATTATAGCACAAAGAATGTTACTTACTTACTTATATTGGAGATTTTACGTGCGCTGTCCGACTGCAAGCGTACGCCGCACACGGAAAAACAAAGAATGTTGTAACTTTACGTTAAAGTATGGGAGCTACAATCGTGTCAGCACTAAGATCGCTTTGTGGACCAGCTTGTGAGCATTTACATGGCAGGAAGAAGACCAAGTTGACAGAGACAGACACAGGAATGTCATGCAGTGAGACATTGACGACAGAGCTGATGACGAGACACAGCACTGCTACTCACCCAGTCCCTGTTGCTAAGTCTGGCAGCCTCCGTGTACACATCTATAGCAGCCTTGTGTCGCGCCAGAAGAAACCTGCACACAGGACAACAAACACTGAGTGACTGCATCCTTGACACCAGGAGATTACCCACCTCGTCAAAAGCTCATTTTGGACAAGTGGTTATGGATTGGAAAAAACACGCTTACGAGGTTTTGGTAGACAGAGCATGCCCTGGGGAGAGGGAAAAACCAAGGGGGCAAAGCCCCCGCGGTTTTTCCCAACCCCCAGGGCATGCTCTGTCTACTAAAACTGAGGGAAAGTGTTGTTCCATACATATAAACCGTCTAAATTGATTAAATGTTATAACGAGCATCTATAAATGAGGCACTTCATTATAGCGCTTCCTTGAAGACGTTATATCATAACTTGCACGTGAAAGTCGCTGACTTGCCAGGCGTTCAAGAGCCCTTGGATGTGTCAACAACAAAACACAACTAAAATACTTACTTTTAAATGAAAGTGAAATCTTCGGTTTCTAAATGTTTGTGTTGCAATATTCCACCTCTTTTAAACTTTTCAAAACGAAAATTCGCAATTTTAAAGGTGTTTTTTGTTTTACAAGATTTTCGATATAAACAATCCAACTGTTACATAGAGGTAGTTGTAACGTAACGGCTAGCAGTTCCTGCACGTGCAAATTGTGCGGCATTGATAAGCACTTGTTTAAAAGCACATGTTTTGAAACCTTGCTGTCCTTTCACCAGAGACTCTGATGTGGAAAGATGAGCGACCACGACGACGACTTTCATTTTGTTACCCAGTCTTCATTCACTGAAGAAAGCGATGACTTTTCTTATTGATTTGGAATGGATGAAATTTGAAAGTTAGTCATTAGCGTCCATAATAGGTTTTACTTTGAAAGTAAAACCTCTTAATAGGTTTTACTTTGAAAGTAAAACCTCACAATAGGTTTTAATGCCTATAGAAAGAACTCTCTTACTTAATAGAGATCCCAATGAATAGGTTTATAAAATCGTTGTAAGCCCTCCTGCGAGGTGTTACAATCGTTGTAATACCTCCTGCGAGGTGTAACCACAATTTCAAAAACTCCATATCGAGTTACACAAACAGCCAGTAGGTTGATAAATGCAACTACATTGTGTGGTCAACACCTATTCCTTCCTGACTTTCACTTGTGACCATGTTTAACCTGATATTTCTCTACGTTCAGAAATGGTAACAACAAACTATTTATTCATTTTTTTATTTTCTTAGCTGGGAAAACCTTCAGAAAGAGACCTGCAATTGCTGGAGACTCAGCTGGACAATGATCCTGCAAACTCTGAGCTAAATCACCACTGACAAATATGGTGTGGATTTTCCTAGTCATACCTCAAAACCTTAAAGAAATCAGAGCCTAGAGCCTGTGGATGCTAGGACAAGATCTGATTGGAGCTTGTGGGTACTAGGACAGGATCTGTCTGGAGCATGTGGGTACAAGGACAAGATCAGCCTGGAGTATGTGGGTACAAGGACAAGATCAGCCTGGAGCATGTGGGTACTAGGACAAGATGAGCCTGGAGCATGTGGGTACTGGGATAAGATCAGCCTGGAGCATGTGGGTACAAGGACAAGATCAGCCTGGAGCATGTGGGTACAAGGACAAGATGAGCCTGGAGCATGTGGGTACTGGGATAAGATCAGCCTGGAGCATGTGGGTACAAGGACAAGATCAGCCTGGAGCATGTGGGTACAAGGACAAGATCAGCCTGGAGCATGTGGGTACAAGGACAAGATCAGCCTGGAGCATGTGGGTACAAGGACAAGATGAGCCTGGAGCATGTGGGTACTAGGACAAGATGAGCCTGGAGCATGTGGGTACAAGGACAAGATCAGCCTGGAGCATGTGGGTACAAGGACAAGATGAGCCTGGAGCATGTGGGTACTGGGATAAGATCAGCCTGGAGCATGTGGGTACAAGGACAAGATCAGCCTGGAGCATGTGGGTACAAGGACAAGATCAGCCTGGAGCATGTGGGTACAAGGACAAGATCAGCCTGGAGCATGTGGGTACAAGGACAAGATCAGCCTGGAGCATGTGGGTACAAGGACAAGATGAGCCTGGAGCATGTGGGTACAAGGACAAGATCAGCCTGGAGCATGTGGGTACAAGGACAAGATGAGCCTGGAGCATGTGGGTACTGGGATAAGATCTTTCGGGAGCCTGTAGGTACTCGGACAAGATCTGTCTGGAGCCTGTGAGTACTGGGACAAGATCTGCCTGGAGCCTGTGGGTACTGGGACAGGATCTGCCTGGAGCCTGTGGGTACTGGGACAAGATATGTCTGGAGCCTGTGAGTACTGGGACAAGATCTGTCTGGAGCATGTGGGTACTGGGACAAGATCTGTCTGGAGCATGTGGGTACTGGGACAAGATCTGTCTGGAGCATGTGGGTACTGGGACAAGATCTGTCTGGAGCATGTGGGTACTGGGACAGGATCAGCCTGGCGCCTGTTGGTACCGGGACAGGATCTGCCCGGAAAATGTGGGTACTGGGACAAGATCAGCCTGGAGCATGTGGGTACTGGGACAAGATCTGTCTGGAGCATGTGGGTACTGGGACAAGATCTGTCTGGAGAATGTGGGTACTGGGACAAGATCAGCCTGGAGAATGTGGGTACTGGGACAAGATCAGCCTGGAGCATGTGGGTACTGGGACAAGATCTGCCTGGAGAATGTGGGTACTGGGACTAGATCTGTCTGGAGAATGTGGGTACTGGGCCGAGATATGCCTGGAGAATGTGGGTACTGGGACAAGATCAGCCTGGAGCATGTGGGTACTGGGACAAGATCTGTCTGGAGCATGTGGGTACTTGGACTAGATCTGCCTGGAGAATGTGGGTACTGGGACAAGATCAGCCTGGAGAATGTGGGTACTGGGACGAGATCTGCCTGGAGAATGTGGGTACAAGGACAAGATCAGCCTGGAGCATGTGGGTACTGGGATAAGATCTTTCGGGAGCCTGTAGGTACTCGGACAAGATATGTCTGGAGCTTGTAGGTACCGGGACAAGATCTGTCTGGAGAATGTGGGTACTCGGACAAGATCAGCCTGGAGCATGTGGGTACCGGGACAAGATCTGTCCGGAGTCTGTGGGTACTGGGACAGGATCTGCCTGGAGCATGTGGGTACCGGGACAGGATCTGTCTGGAGAATGTGGGTACTGGGACTAGATCTGCCTGGAGAATGTGGGTACTGGGACAAGATCAGCCTGGAGAATGTGGGTACTGGGACAAGATCTGCCTGGAGAATGTGGGTACTGGGACAAGATCAGCCTGGAGCCTGTGGGTACTGGGACAAGATCAGCCTGGAGAATGTGGGTACTGGGACGAGATCTGCTTGGAGCATGTGGGTACTTGGGACAACCTCTCTCCATAACTAGGGGTAGGTGCTGTTAGAAATACTGGAGACAAGTTCTCCGTGGAGTACTCACAGTGACCTGGCCACCTGCTTCAGATTGTCAGCACTGTGAGGGTTGAGTAGTGTGCAGGTCTGAAACATCTCTAGGGACTCCTGTATACGGCCCTCCTGTCGCAGAATCAGGGCTGAAGATAAAAACAGGTCAACATAGTTGTTTAAAAGCCACAAACCACAAAATTTATGGAAATGATATACTTAGGTTTTCTATACTTAATCACTGAATTTTTGATAGATCTGGACAGAAAAACAACAACATTCAAAACAAAGTCATGAAGTGCATCGTGTAGTCTGGGGCCATTATTCATGGGATATTAATAGAATGACACACTATCAGCCTAGTGAAACCCAATAATCATTCTAGTTACAGGAAGTACTCGACCCACTATTACCCAACTCTACCTGGGTACCAGCTGTGGACACAAAATGCCTGATTGGGAATTGTTTTCGAAGCCCTGGGACTATGGAGTTTTATTGTTAAAATTATTGTCAATAAATAACATACCTTGTGACCAACCACATCCTGTGGGGACCCACCCGACCCGATACCCGAGTTACCCATCCCAGCTCTAGTTACAAGGAACCTTCTTGCTGCAACATCCCCATGTGGCTGTGAACACAGTGCAATGATGGACATCTACTGGGGTGAATTGTTGGAGCCCACCCAGTGTTCCCTACCTTGCACATACACAGCATATTCACACATGCCCCCACTTTCAGCCAGCTGCTCCTTGATGAGGGACTTGCATGTGCTGAACTCCTTCCTCACGTAATGCAAGTGGATCAGCCAGTTCCGTCGCTCGTACACCGGCAGCTCCGGCGCTGTGCACAGACATAACACGTTTTTAACTAAGCTCAATAATCATGATTGTGATATAGTGGAGTGAGTGAGTGAGTGAGTGGGTGAGTGAGTTGGGTTTAATGCAGCAGTAGAAACTAACATTTTTAGTGAGTGAGTATGGTTTTACACCGCTTTTAGCAATATTCCAGCAATATCAGGGTGGGGGACACCAGAAAAGTGCTTCACACATTGTACCCATGTCGGTAATCGAACCCGGGTCTTTGGCGTGATGAGTGAACGCTTTAACCACTAGGCTACCCAACAGCCCTAACATTTTTAGCCAACTAGTCCTTATAATGATAACATATAGCAAAACCCTTATAAATGGCAAATTTCTACAAATCCTTGCGATACCTTAACAATGGGCAGTTTGGCAAGGACTATAGGACGAGGGCCAATTTCTAACTCTCTTTAATGCTGCTTGCAATAGTATTCCAGTTATATCATGGAGTGTCACCTTGATGTGGGAGGAAAGATCGAAGTGATGGAAGTCTTAAAATGAATACCCTTTGGTGAAACCCACCAGCACGGGTATATTGCTGACAAACCTAGAAACATAATCAGGGAGAACCAGGATTCGAACCCACGATCATAGGTTTCTGACGTGTCCAAGGGACATAACTCTGCACGATGAAGTCTAGTTTGAAGCCCGAGTCCAGTATAATTCTGTTCCGTCTTGTAAGCTCAGCTAATAGTAGTCCATATAATTACACTAAAATCTACTGAAAAAGATCTTAATGCATTGTTCAGGCTTGTAGACTCAAAGGTTTTTTGGCACAGTCTGTCCATGTCAAGACATGCATGGTTCTGATATTACACATGCATCGAGATGGGGAATGATAGGGTAAACAAACCCTTGATATATTAATGATATGCAATCTTCATGTCAATTCTGCCAGGAGCACAAATTGCCATGGGTTTTATACAACATCCAGCCAATGAAGTGTGAGGTTACAATGTATTTTCTATGCAAGGCAAAAAAATCACTTTTTGCTTAGGTAGTATTTTCATTTCCAGTATAGCAAAATCAAAACCTGCCACATAACCATTATCAATTATATTGCTTATTGACATCATTAATAATTTATTCAGTTCATATCAGTTGTAAATTCTTTTAGTTCCACTGACAAACAGTGAGTACTAAACAGTTAGAACAAACTTGACCCCAGGAATTCATATATAGAATCTCACCCAAGTGTCTAGGCCCCAACCTAGAATTATCCCAGTACCTGTCCCAGCCCTCCTGGGATTTAGGTACATGTATAAGGATTTATACCTGAGGTATAAGCTTATATATCTTTTTTACCTTTTTTAGGCCTGGGTTTGGGAGGGGCTGCTGCAGGCAGAGAAGGCACTACTGCTGCTGGTTTTTCTGCAGGAACTTGTATTTCAGGTTCATCTTTTTCCTGAAATATTCCAAAGTATCACTTATGAGTACATGGATATATTTGGTAATGATTGTCTATATTAACATGTTTAATGTAGTCGTAATTTCAAATGAAAACAACAACAGAGCTGTAACAATACAATTTGTGGCGATGAAATATGTATTTCAAAGGCAATTTTGCGATAACATGCTCACTATAGTTAATCATTATAACAATGATTTAAAGCTAGATACTTTTCATGTTAATTGGTTAAGCTGTATTAATCAATTGAAAATTACAAAGGCCCCTGTTCTCTCACATAACTGTTGAGACATAATATATTTGCTTGATTTTATCACAACATTATTGTGGCACAAAGTGTTGTCATGCATAGCTGCATAAGTACAAGCTACTTTCTCTTGTGATTTATGTATAGCAGCTTGATGATGTATTACTGCAAGTTGCATGTATTCTATATAAGTAATATGACGTGAAATGTATCCGTCAGGCCTAGTTCTCGAATCGAACTAAAACTTTTGGTAAAAGTTACTGGCCGGTGTATGATAATAAACAATCGTGCAAAAATTAACAGTTGCTTACAAATAAACCAAATATTGCAGTTAATGTTTAAACAATAACCACAGTGGTAATCGTTAATAATTTTTGTTCCGCAAATACATTAAATTTCATTCTATTGTAGTTTGTTCGGCACGGAGTTAGTTGATCGAAAATAGGACAACTGACTATTACAACACACAACGATACGATTTTTCACATCGTGTTGCAATTTCTGCAGTGCCAACAAAGTATTGGCAAGAAAACAAACATGGAATAGTTGTGATTGACGTAAACAAAGAATTAACCTGCTTGTGACCATCTGGGGCCACAGCTTTTTCGATATCGGCATTTTCGACGTCCGCCATGACAAACTATTTACCAAACACGGTGCAAAAAGATCCTGAACACTGATTGGTTGAAATACATATTATGGTTAAATTATGGTACAAAAATACGTGTTTTCACAGTGTCGAAAGATTAGAAGAAAGATGATTAGTATCCACTAATACGGTATATCTAAAGGAAACATTTATCTATCTCAAATTTCATCACGTTCAAAACAAATGTCTTGAAAGAATAACGTTGCCTAGCAACCGTCTTGAGACAGCTCCCTGGAATCGCGAGGATGTCGCATTCAATCTCATGAAAACTTACAATGAGATGTTATGTCGTATTTATATAATTACCGTTGATGCACAGCGTTTTATTTACAATTATTTCTCCGATTTTGTATTGGTATTTCAAAGAACACATATGAAATAGATCCAGGTTCTAAACGAGTCGTTCATTCGCACTATTTCATCTTACATGCTTGCAAGAAATGATATAACCACCTCTCTCATACGTTGGTGGTTGCTAATTGTGTATTTAGCGGGACAAGAAAACCGCATTGTACATTTAATTACTATTGCAAAACTGCCCCGTTTATAAGTGCATGACATAGATCTATACAGTACAACGCGGCGTAAATGGTCCCTAAAATTCCTTTCATCACAAATCGTATCATTATCACTTCAATGTCAGGAAAAGAAATGTACGTGTTTAGACACAACGCAACTAAACTTACCATCTTAAAAGATGGATGGTATGGATGAAAACAAACACATAGCTGCTGTCACCACAGTGATTACATGTACAACATATTTAGCTGTAGGTTCGAATCCCAGATTCGTTCCGAAAATGATTCTTTGTCTGTAAGCCTCAGGTGTTTGTGGGCTGTCACAGAAGTTGGTTGGTTGGTTTGTTGTTTAACGCGCACTGAGCAATATTCCAGCTATATAGGACGGCGGTCTGTAAATAATCGAGTCTGGACCAGAAAATCCAGTGACTGATATCATGAGCATCGATCCACTCAATTGGGAACGACGACATGCATCAACCAAGTCAGCGAGCCTGACCACCCGATCCCGTTAGTCGCCTCTTACGACAAACATAGTCGCCTTTTACGGAAAGCATGGGTTGCTGAAGACCTATTCTACCCCGGATCTTCACGGGTCTAACAGCAGTGGTAAATGTGTACGACCTGTGTTGATTGAAGTTTTTCACCCCACATTACACGGACACGTCAACTGGCATGCTGATCAAAGCTACTTCAAACCCAACTGAAATACCCGCTTTATTGTTTTCACCAGGAGAGATAGATATATCACGTGTCCTCTTTCTGCAAACGAGTTGATCAGGTGAAGCGTCCGTAAAATGTTCGGTAACCTTCTATCTGCCCTCTTCGGAAGACCGACCCGGAGTTGGGGCGTCATTGCAATCGGATGGCTGAAACATTTGCCATGAATTTAATAAAAGGTTGAATATGTGAAAGACATGTCAACATTCAGTACCGAATGATGTTTTAAGTGGTATATTTTTCTGCTATATACTCCCGATATAGGCATAGAAATATGAAAAACACCGCGACGTTGACAATTAATAAAACGCGTTAGAATTTGTATTATGAAAGATATACTTCCAATTCATATTACAAAGGGCAAGGTAGGATAAAGGCTCTCTGCATAAATTAAAAAATGAGCAAAACGTTTAGAAATTGTTTTGACAATTGTCGGATAGGTTCACAAGATTTGTTTGTTTGTTTAACGCCGGTCTCAGCAATATTCCAACTATTGACAGAGATCTGTAAATAATCGAGTCTGGACCAGAAAATCCAGTAATTGGCACGGTGAGCATCAATATACGCAACTGGGATACAATGACATGCATCAACCAAGTCAAAGAGTCTGACCACCCGATCCCGTTAGTCGTCTCTTACGACAAGCATGGGCTGATGAAGACCAACTGTAAGCCCGATTTTCACGGGTTTGTTCACATGACAAAGAACAAGACTTTAAATTTGTTCATTTCAACACATCTGTGCCTTGGACTTTTAAGAACAACAAATGTGCATGGAAGGGTAAAGTTTGTCGAAATGGTTGTTTTAAGACGTTTCAGGAAACATTTTTGAAATATTTGAACACGAGCAAGTCTTTGACCCAAGCTGAAAAACATAACAAATATATGGTTAAAAAGTCATGCTGGGTCATAGACTTGATCCAAGATTTTCTCTTCAAGATGTAAATATATCGTCCTTTTCGCTCATTTTGACCATTATTATGAGCTAAAAAACAGAAGTCCAAAACTTGCAAGAGTAAGATAGAAAAAGGCTAAATGTCAATAATTTAAAAATCTAATAATTATCATACCATTATTATAAAGGTTTCCGCAACATTAAACTTTGATATTTCCAGTGGACATGCAAAGAGGGCTCTTATCTTACCTCCTCCCTTAAACTAAAAAAAAGGGCGGTCGGGTAGCCTAGTGGTTAAAGCGTTCGCTCGTCACGCCGAAGACCCAGGTTCGATTCCCGACATGGGTACAATGTGTGAAGCCCATGTCTGGTGTCCCACGCCGTGATATTGCTGGAATATTGCTAAAAGCGGCGTAAAACCATATTCACTCACTCACTAAACTAAAAAAAAACAAAGAACTTCCAAACATATAGCTCTATGAATATACACTCGTTTAACGCCTCTTCAGCACTCAATATTTCAGTTTTACCAACAGGCCTACCAAAAAAACACCTTACCTGTGTTAAAAAACATATGTGTCTGATATTTGTCTATTTTGCACACAGAAATATCGACTGGCAGAAATATGGGTAGATGCTGCACACTAACAGATGATGGTAGATATTGGTAGGCCTCACCAACTCGTGTCATGTTCCTTCCTGAGGAAAACAAGAGGTGGTTGATGTGGACATTTCCCACTTTTGTAAAACATACGAGCACGTGCTGTGACAGATTAATGGCCAAAATCGGGGCGCACCTTGGATTCAGATACACAGGAGGGACCAAAATAACTCAACAGTGTGAGCATGGATCAGGGTCAAAGGTCAAATAAGACATTCATAAGTATTATTTATTTTGAACATTCGGGATTTTAAAAATTATTTTTTATTAAGCACATGTAAAAGAATCGTGTTAACTCAAAGGGTGTCTTTTTTTAAACCCTTTAATATTTTTTTCTTCTAAATATTGTCTAAATCAATATAAATGTCAAGTTCATTCAATTATTGATATTTCCCTTGTAGAATTAATTATTTTCTGTAAAATTATTTAATCACTCGAATGATTAATGGTTCTTATAGGTATCGTCTTCAACGTTATGGACGCGGGAAGAGCAGTTTTTACACAGCTCAATCATTGACATTAATCAACTGTGTTGCCGATTCTAGACATCTCCACTCCGCTTCATATGAATCTTACTAGGTCAGTCATTCTCTTTCCTCATCCAGCTGACACCCTTGATTTTACAATTACCATCCTAAGAACTCCTTACCCTGGCAGAGAGAAGCGCAAAGCATTACAGATTCGGTTTCATTGTTAGGAAGGGCGATGGTCCGAGTTCGTAGATCTTCGATCGGCAGTTTACGTGTCGACACTCCTCAGAGATGGAGGTGTCGCTAGTTACTTTGGGAATATGCCGTTGGCTAGAAAAGCAATCAAAATGGAGCACAAGCTCTGATCCAGATTTGGAATGAGAGCGCGACCGCTCGGAACTGGAAGAAGTAAAAAGTAAATACAAAAGATATTCACTCTAATTCAAAGGAAATTAAACGGGTAAAGGCGGCACGTATCGTCTTAAACTGTAATTTAGAGACCGTCTTCCTTGTAGACGCTGGTTTCAAAATGTTGGCGTGAGTCGTAGGTAGTTTAACAGAAGTAATTTCCGAATAATGTTCCCACTCCCATATTGACAAGTTTTGTGAGGAGTTAGCTTACGAGTCCTTCAATCCTTTAAAGCATGTTCGAAGTACGCTAAAATAGATTGATTTCCAGATGTGTCAGTTTTAGATGATATGAAAATATTCATGAAGAAGAAATTTGGAATATTTGAAACATTAAGATTATTCCTTGGAGTTAATAAATTGTTTCCGTTTGCTATTTTCAGGATTCATTAAAATTAAGCCCTCGTTTCTAGTGAGAGGTTGAATATACTTCTAGCGTTATTCCATTCGCGTTAACCTCACAGGCAATAATCACAACAAAACATCTAAGAACTAACACGCATTCTCAAAAAGTGAGGTCTCATTTGCATTTTATCTCAATTCAAATTTGACATTGCAAAATATAGGCGTGAACTTCAACAGTAACACGTTACTGAAGCGCTTGCATAGAAGCCTAGAATGCGAGGGAGCAATTGCCTTTCTTGATCGAATTGACCAATTTATCCGTATGTCGTAGTACTTAAAATTAGACTGCCTACCCCACAAAGCAGTTAGATTGGCGACTTGCAAACCTATAAAAGCCAACGACAGAGCGTTCTTCCACGAAGCTGAGACTAATCCGGTATCGTTTTCGAGTGTCTGGGCAGAGGAGAAGTGCTGCAGTATTAGCCCTCATTAACTGACCGGTCATACGCCTTCGTAAATTCAATTATCTCCGACATTGTGATATAGACGAGGCTGGGTGTTAATACGATGAATGTCCCCCTTGGGGCTGACTTGGGCCATTTGGTAGTCTATGCACCCTCACCCTTCTATACAACATAAATATTGCATGAACGACCGTCCGTCCACATGCAAATCGTTATGCCATGGTAATGCCTTATCATGCCAGACAAACAAAGACTTATGGCAAAGAACGTACTAAGATCCGTTAGGTTAATGACTATATTTCTGGTTATTATGGGGAGGACACGCGTATAGAATAGTATACAAGGCAACAGGTTCCTAGGTATAGAAGGTGGTGGTGGCATGGTGATGGCGGCGTTGTAGTGGCGTAGTGGTGGCGAGGTGATGGCGGCGTGGTGGCGGCGAAATTGTGACGTGGTTGTGATGGCGTGGTGGTGACGAGGTGGCGGCGTTGTGGTGGCGGCGATGTTGTGGCGTGGTGACGCGGTTGTGATGACG